CTGAGGGACCTTGTCGATGAGGCCAGGTCAAGGGAAGAACAGGCAAGATTGCCTCAAGCACCAGTAGCTCCGCCTCCCCCAGCACAGCAACCACAGGCATGAGGACCACCGGTGGTTAATGTAATTCACTCAAAGGTGAACGAAAATGACATACGAGGGGAGACCCAGAAGGTAAAACACCTACAGCACGTGAACCAGGTCGGACATAAAAGACCTCGTCCTGAAGAATTCCAAGGACCGACGATAGCCTTTACAAAAGCCGACCTAGAGATGGTCCAGCATCCACACAATGATGCCTTGGTAGTATCCCTCCAGTTTGGGGAGTGCCAAGTGAAATGCATCTTGATTGATCAAGGCAGCTCTTGCGACATCATGTATGTTAGATGTTACAAGGAGCTGGGCCTTCATCCTGATGACTTGGAGCAATCCAATGGCCTAATGGTTGGCTTTAATGGAACGCCGACGTGGCCACTGGGTACAACAAGCTTGGAAGTATAAGCCGGCACTAAGAAGATCAAGACAGAATTCATGGTGATTGACACGCCCTCGCCATACAACATCATCTTGGGAAGGCCATGGTTGCATGCAATGGGGGCAGTTCTCTCAACGTTGCATCAACTACTACGGTTCCCAACAGAGCGTGGGATTGAAGAAGTCAGAGGAGATCAACTGCAAGCAAAGAATTGCTCCATGGCAGCAATGAAATCCACCTGAAACATTCGAGAACCGGAGAAGGCAGAGATTGAAGACAAGGACATAAAGGTCCTAGAGGATGTCGGCAAGGAGCCAGCCGAGAAGAGTGAAGAAGCACTGAAGAAAGTCCTCGTCCAGGAGGATGATGAAGAACTCTTCTTTCTTGTCCGCTCGAGCTTAGCCGAAGAAGAAAAAAGAGAACTGAAAACTTTTCTGAGAGCAAACATAGAGGTGTTCGCTTGGACGCCTTATGAAATGCCTGGCATTGACCCCGAGGTCACATGCCACAAATTGAACGTTGACAGGACAGCCAAACCAGTAATACAACGAGCCAGAAGACCGACGTTGATGCACGTTGAAGCAGTGGAAGAGGAAGTAGACAGAATTCTAGAGGCCAGGGCCATCAGAGAAGTCAATTATCTAACATGGCTATCAAACACTGTGGTAATAAAGAAAAAGAATGGTAAGTGGAGGGTCTGCGTAGATTTTACATGCCTGAACAAAGTTTGTCCCAAAGACAGCTTTCCTCTACCCAAGATTGACCAGTTGGTAGATGCCACATCTGGACATGGAAGGATGAGCTTCCTGGATGCTTACAGGGGATATCACCAGATAACTATGTACCCCCCAGATGAGGAGAAGATAACGTTTATCACCCCGAAAGGGCTGTACTGTTACAAGGTAATGCCTTTTGGGTTGAAAACGCAGGAGCAACTTACCAAAGGTTGGTAACCAAGATGTTCTAACACCTGATTGGCCAAACAGTAGAGGTCTACATCGATGACATGTTCGTGAAGACCAAAGAACCTAAGGGTCATCTTGCCGACCTAAAAGAGGTCTTTGATATACTCAAGACATACCGGCTCCGACTCAATGCATCGAAGTGCGCGTTTGGAGTTAGATCAGGTAAGTTTTTGGGGTACCTGGTAACAGGAAAGGGTATTGAGGCCAGCCCAGATCAAATCAAGGCCATTCTAGAGCTGAAAAGCTCGACGTCGGCAAAACAAGTTCAAATGCTTACCGGAAGGGCCGCGACCCTAAACAGGTTCATAAGCTGAAGCTCAGACAAATGTAAACCTTTCTTCAACCTGGTGAAGAAGGCCAAGGACTTCCTATGGACTGAGGAATGTGAGGCCGCTTTGGCCGACCTAAAGAAATATCTGACCACGGCTTCAGTCCTCTCAACACCTGAACCTGGGGAAGAACTGTTTTTGTATTTAGCAGTTTCAGAACATGCAGTAAGTGTAGTACTAATCCGAGAGGAAAAATTGGAGCAAAAGGCTGTTTATTATGTAAGCAAAACCTTGGCCGATGCAGAAACAAGGTACCTACCACTAGAGAAATTAATGTTGGCCTTAGTAATGGCTTCAAAGAAGCTGAACCATTACTTTCAAGCGCACAAGATTATAGTGCTAACAGAGCACCCACTGAAGTCCTTGTTACAACAAGGAGACTTAACTGGAAGAATAGCAAGATGGGCAGTGGCCTTGGGCCAGTATGACCTGGAGTTCAGGCCGAGAATAGCAATTAAGGGCCAAGTTTTGGCCGACTTCATGGCCGAATTCACGACAGAATCCATCGAACATCGGACTCCGTTAAGCTAAGATAAACGATGTCCAAGCAAACAAGGAGAAGCCCAGCCAAAGGCAAAAGAACAAAGAAAGGAAAAACTCTGACCCTGCAGCATTTACATCAGTGACTCCTTTCGCCTGTTTGTCGATGGGAGCTCAAACTGGCAAGGAGCAGGGGCAGGAGTAGTGTTAATATCTCCTGATGGGGAGATATTAGAACAATCCATTCGATTAGGGTTCAAGGCCTCGAACAATGAGGTAGAATACGAAGCATTGATTGCAGGACTAAAACTGGCAGTGGCAGCAGAAGCAGATGAGGTAATAATTTTTTGTGATTCACAACTTATAGTGAATCAAACAACAGGAGAGTTTGCAACCCGAGATGAGAGAATGTCGGCATATGCAAAGTAAGTCATTAGGTTGGCAGCCTTGTTTCGCAACTGTCGACTTCTTCAAGTTAACCGAGATAATAACAGTCACGCCGACGCATTGGCCAACTTGGCAAGTTCAATACAAACTGGAAAAACAAGGACAATAATGATTGACTATTTGTCAGGCCCGAGCATAGAACCACCGATCACAGAACAAGAAGCAATGTGTGTGGACTTGGGACCAAGCTGGATGGATGCAATTGTTGCATTCCTAAAAGAGGGAAAGCTGGCAGAAGACCATAAGGAAGCACACAAGGTCAGATTGAAGTCGGCAAGATTTAATCTGACAGCGGACGGACATCTCTACAGAAGGTCCTTCACTAGACCCCTTTTAAGATGCGTACACCCTTTGCAGGTTGAAGATTTTCTATATGAAATTCATGAAGGGATTTGTGGAAGCCACGCTGGGGGCAGATCACTAGCTCACAGGGCCATTACCCAGGGATATTGGTGGCCCTACATGCAAAAAGATGCAGAAGCCTACGTGAAGAAGTGCGAACAATGCCAAAGGTTCGCACCTTTGATACACCAGCCAGCTGCTGACCTAAACCCTGTATCCAGTCCATGGCCATTTGCCTAATAGGGCATTTATCTCGTTGGGCAGTTGCCCCAAGCAACTGGGCAAAGGAAGTACTGGATGGTAGCAACAAATTACTTCACGAAGTGGATAGAAGCAGAACCTCTTGCTAAGATCCGAGATGTGGATGTCAAGAACTTCATATGGAGAAACATCATCACCAGATTTGGCATTCCAAGAGCAATAGTTGTCGACAACGGAACGCAGTTTGACAGCAAACTCATCAAGAACTTCTGTGCGAAATTCAAGATAAAGAATTACTTTTCAACACCAAGTTTTTCCCAAAGCAATGGGCAAGCAGAAGCATCCAACAAAGTAATTTTGGATGGGATAAAGAAGAGGCTGCAGGCAGCAAAAGGAAAGTGGGTAGACGAGTTGCCCAATGCACTCTAGACATATCGGACTACGCTGAAAAGATCAACAGGGGAAACCCCATTTGCCATGGCTTACAACACAAAAGCACTCATCCTACTGGAGATCGGCATCCCAGGGATCAGAACCCAGGGAGTAGAGAATGGGACTAATGATATACTTCTAGCCCGAGATCTGGATCTCTTAGAAGAAAGAAGGGAGAAAGCTACAATTCAACTCGCAGCATACCAGTAGCAGCTTGCTAGAACTTACAATAAGAAGGTCAATCCAAGGGATTTTCAGGTCGGCGACCTAGTCCTAAGAAAAGTTATTGGCAACAAGAAGGATCCCAGAGAGGGCAAGCTTGGCCAAAACTGGGAAGGACCCAACAGAATTACTTCGGTATTGGGCAATGGCGCATACCGGCTTGAAGATAATGAGGGCAAAGCATTGCCAAGACCCTAGAACACTTGTAATTTGAAATTTTTCTATCATTAGATGTTCCTTGTTATTTTTTGCCGACGTCATCAATAAAATCTTAACAGAATTCTCCAAGACTTGTGAATTGATAAAAGATGCATAATGTTGTTTCTGAATAATGAGAACCCAAGTGGAACTTAGATTCACATTGGGGGCAGAGAGAAAACAAAAATATTTAACGCTTGTTGAAATTTGTAACAATTTACAAGTTGAAGTTAAGCCGAGATTATTGTTTATCTTCACTTGTTGAAATTTGTAACAATTTACAAGTTGAAGTTAAGCCGAGATTATTGTTTATCTTCATTTGTTGAAATTTGTAGCAATTTACAAGTTGAAGTTAAGCCGAGATTATTGTTTATCTTCACTTGTTGAAATTTGTAGCAATTTACAAGTTAAAGTTAAACCGAAGTAATGCTTAACGCTTGTTGAAATTTGTAGCAATTTACAAGTTGAAGCTAAACCAAAATCATTGTTTGGCACTTGTTATGACTTAAGAAAAGTTTACAAAATTGAAATTAAAACAGTATATGTTAATCCTTATTAAAATTTGTAAGCAATTTACTTGCCGAGGTAAATCGTCAGATGGCATAACCGAGGTGTGTCACCCCGAGAAGATTACACAAAGAAGGAAGAGTACATAAGACATGCAAAATATTCTAAGTATAGAATCATGCAAGAGCAGTTAGAAGAAGACAAAGATACAAGCATTCAGAAAAAGAAAACTGAGTTAGCATTCACAAAAAGGCACATCAGCCTGCAAAAGTTACATCGTCTAAAGAAAAAAAAAAGTACAAGCGTACAAAAGACAAGAAAAGAAAAGACAAGACATCAAAACTAAGATTCCGCAACATCGGCAGCAGGCTGGGTTTGGACGTCAGAGGACTGCTGAGAATATACCTCAGCCGCCTTCTTCGCCGTGATCTCGGCATCAAATTGGGCAAGGGTCCCATCAATACTCTTATCAGTAAGAAGTGAATCTGATGATACCTTTGGAGGAATCACTTCCTTGGGAACCTCCTCAACCTCCTCGTCTTGAGTTAAGTCTAGGACTTGCTCATTTTGAGGAGGGGACTTGGACGCAGTAGCCTCCCTTTCTCACCAAGGCCTGATCCTCATCCTCATCATTTTCCTCGGATTCAAATTCGCCGATATCTTGACTTGAAGATTGAGCTGGAGGGAATGGAAGAGGGATGGCATCGGCTTTCCTCAATGGTGAGTCTTCAGGAACATTGAGTTTTTCCAGAAGAAACATCCATCCAAGGGTGAAACCCTTGTTGCATGCCTGCTTCACTTGAAGTTCATAAGCCTCAGTAACGTCGGCCATGCCTTGAGTGTACGCCTTTTCATCAGCTTCTTTGATTTCAGCGTCCTTGGTGGCCAGGGTCTCCTGAAGCTCTTTTTCGACCTGGGCCATTCTCTCATGGGCCTCCTTTCTCTAGGACTCAGCAACTTTCCTTATGGCCTCGGCAGAATCGGCCTTCTCTTCGACCTCAGTCTGGGCTTTGATTGCAGCCTCAGCTTGGTCCTCCAGTTTTTTCATCTTTGATTGAAGACCTTTGTTGGTCTTTTGGAGGGAAGAGAACTCCCTCTTCATCTCGACAAGCCTCTCCCGATTCTCAAAAGGCTGCATTAAGAAAGAGTGGGCATGCTGGATGGCCTAAAAGAAAACAGAGGTATTAGAGAATATTCAAAGTACGAAATAAAGAGAAAAAAAGAAGAAAATTACCAAATAGAAGACATCTACCTGAACGGAGTGCTGAAGCATTAGAGCGTAATTCTCATACTCACTGTACTGGGCGTTTCGCTCCAAATCGCCTGGTAGCAGCAAAGCAGTACTGAGCGCAACGCCGACATTAATATCTTCGGCACTGTCATTTGCCATAATAAGCTTATCTTCCGGAGTAATTGAGGGGGCCCAGGGGGCATCAGGTTTTTTTGATCCCGAGGTTGTTGCAGAAGAAGACCTCGGCTTTTTTGGTTTTTGGGATTCTGATGGTTGAGACTCAGAGTGCCTCTTCCCAGCAGAAGGCTGAGATTTATCACTCTTGGCCAACTTTGAGATAGGCAAGGTGTCTTCAGATTCAACCTGAGCTATCTTAGCCTTTGGTTGTGCCTTCTTTATTCTTTTCGGCTTCGGAGGAGGTTGGGTTTGTGCTGGTTGATCGTCAACAGGTGATGGAATGTTGGCCAGATGATCTTTTGTAACTGGTTTTGGGCGACCCATCTCGGCAGTAAGGACAAGTCGTCGCCGACATTTGCGTTCTAATATTGGGACCAGGTATGCAGCCGAAGTTGATGGCTGATCAGCTGGATCGGATGTTGATCCTTGATCTGTTCGTGATGTGGATGCAGTCAATGGAGTTCCAGCAGAGGGTGGAGAAAGGCTTTTCTTCTTCCTTTTGGGAACGTCGGGCAAAGTTGACTTATATGTTGGAATAAAATTGAGAAGTACAGGTGCCTTCCTTTTATGGACTGGCAAGTCCAGAAGTTTCTTCAAATCCTTGCTGGAAACAAAGGATTGGCGAAAATTTTTCGTGGCTTACGAACAGCTGCAAGAAGAACAGACGTGGGAAACAGACAAAGTATTTAAGACTTTGAAAGAAAACAGGCAAAGCTGAATACTGGGCTCTTACCCTTGCCCTCTAAAATTGATCGAAGAAGAGGGTAGAGATGGATGTCCTCGTTTGGAGCAAACTCCCAATTTCCCGAGGTAATGAAATAGTCATCTCCAGCCCCCTTGTTGGAGTCTGGGAGGTCGGCTATGATTTTGAATTCTGTAGACCTCGGCTTAAGGTAATAAATGTAGCCTTTTTCTTTCAAATTAAAGGCACACATAGTATAGCAGTACTGGATATCGGTTAGGGTGATCCTAGCATTTTCTTGTTTAGCTAAGGCTATGATGCCATTGATCACTCGATAGGAATTGATTGCCAGTTGCATGGGGTTCAACTTATAATAGTGAAGAATCTCACGAAAAAGGATGTTGAGTGGGAGCCGGAGTCCGCACTCAGTGAAAGCTACAATGGGAATGGGCATCGAATCATCTGTCGACATGATGGAGTCGTTATCTCCAGCCAGCCTCAGATGGACATCGGCAGGGATAGAGAACTCTTGCCTAAAGTACTCAAGTTTGGTCGGGGTATCTACCCTATGTCTCCACATACCCATGATATCGGCCTGAATTAGAGGGGTTGGATTTCAGAGAAAAAGTGTTTTGAGAGGGTTAATAAGACCTCGGCAAGAATCTAGGTAAAGTACTAGTTTCAGTTTTTTCCTAAATTCTGGGTTCTGCACAACAAATCCCAAACCTAGATCTATGAAAGCAAGGGTTGAAGGCACAAATCTGGAAGAAAGAAAGGCAAAGACGTGCTTTAGAATCAAGAACAAGGATGGGCTATCAAGAGAATAAAGAATACGAGAAATAAAGGGTTAAGAACAGTAACAAGAGTGTAAGAAAGTAGTGAATAGTATGTATTCAAGATATGGGCAAGATCAAAACCATTTGAATAAATATGTTCAGATATGTGATTCGCAAGATTTGAAACAATAATAGTAACAAGTAATGAAGAATATCAACAGAATTGAAAACGAAAGGAACAGTAGCTTACCAGAAGAAGTAAGGCCGGAATAAGGTTCGCTGAAGTCAGACGATGGTTATAGGAGTAACAGAGTAGCGAAAGCTTCACCAGAAAGACGAATGAAGACAATTGCAGAACTTGGGACTGGAACAATGGCGTATTCAAGAGCTAGAGAGAGAAAAAGCGAAGAGAAATCGAGTGCAAAAGTGAAAAAATGAAGAAAGGGGAAAGGTTTTGTCAAAAATTTGAAACGGCGGCAAAACGGAGCATTAAATGCTCCTGGAACAATGCATACATCAGACGGCGCCCACAGACGCAAGACGGCTTGCAAGCGCGTCGTGGGCACGGTCCAATGAGGTGGAAACGCGTGAATGAAACGGTTGAGTAAATGATACGTGACAGCTCACAAACGTGAAAGAGTTCACTGGAATTCTTGTTCTCTGAAGAAAACATGTCGGCCTGAAATAAATGATCTCGGCTGAGGAGTTCTTGAGTCGATGTACAGGAGGAAGTACCGATATAGGTTCCATCACCTCAAAATGCCGAGGTAATAGAATGTAGGGGGCAATTGTGGGGATATATTTTCTAAGTACCAACACGTAGCAAGGTGACGCCGATGTGTCAACCGAGGTGCCACGTGTCCTGGTCATTATGCCGAGGTTATCTCCGAAGATATCGGAATCCGAGATAAACGGATAAGGGACAAGAGTCCTAGAATGAAGAGGAGACTTAGTCAAGATGAGGATAAAGCTCTTAGGGAGTTTATTTTTATCTCTTGAGGAGTCCAAAGTAAGTACTGAATTGGAGTCCATAGAAGTCAGGCTTCTAGTGAGACTAGGATTGAGTTAACTATAAAAGAGAGGCACCTCCGTGGGTCTAAGGTACGCAATTTATGCTTTGAGCAGTGAGTTTAGCACTTGATTATCTTTGAGAGATATACTGACTTGATCATCGGAGTGCCCCCGGGTGGAAGAACCACCGTCGGAGCCTTCTCTTTCTGTTACAGGTTAGCTGAAGCCATATATTCTGTCAATGCTCTCTAGCTAATTACTAAACGGGCAGTGTGATCAGAAAATCACTCACACACATTCTAAGCCTATTATCTTTTGTTGTCTATTTTGACATATGTAAGTCGTGAGTATTGCACTTTAATTCCATTTGTTGAACAAAAATATTTCAAGTAGCTCGTAATGCTTTGAGTTTAATAGGTGAATGAAATTGCTATTCAAGCCTCTCCATCATGGTATGTGCAAGATTTGGGTATGAACCGGTCACCAACACTATGACGTTCTAATTTTGACTATTCAAGCCTCTCTATCATGGTATGTACAACATTAGTTCTATGCAACACATCAATGGTGTGCCACACGTTAAAGTAGGTGGTCCTTCTAATAAAATTTTCTGTTTTCTCCAAGTGGCAGGTGTTTAAGACAATTTCAGTCTCATATTCAAGTTCGAAAAGTCTCGAATCTCTTCTTCTATAAGGTTTCACTTTAATTTTTCTTTTTATTTTTTGAGATTGCAGAGCACTGGTTGGTATTAATTGTTTATTATTTATTTTAAATTTATTTTTTTGGTATTGCAGAGCACTTGCTGATGTGCATTGTTTGTTATTTAATTTTGAATTCTATTTTCTAGATTGCATAGTACTGGCTAGTGTTTTTCATTTAGTGTTTGGTATTTTTTTTTATTTATTATAAAGTATTGATATATGTACAATAGCTTTGGCTGGTATTATTTGGTAACGAATAAATAATGAAAATGGAATATTTTTTATTAAACGACAAATATATATAACTGTGGCTAAGGGCTACTATTTTTAATTGAGTTCTGTAGCATGTGTGATACCAAGGAAATTGTTGGAAGTGTTTTAAAAACAATATATATACCTGTGCCTAGGGGTTGTTATTTTTCAATGTCTTAGTTTTTGGTATGTTTTTCGATAAATTACATTTGTATTCAACTACATTTTGGTCTCAATAATTATTTACATCGTGCCTTTAGGGACGAGCATACCTCTTATTCTTCCATTTTTCCACTTCTCCTCTCATTATGAAAATCATTTAACACTAAGGTAAATGATGGGAAGTGAGCATTGTTTTGAGGATTGCAAAAAATCCTGAATTTATGGAAACTTTGACATATAATTAAGATTGCAAAATTAATACTTTTTCATAACTTGCTATTTCATGTGATGAATTCTTTTTCCTTATTTTTGTTTGTTTATTTATTTGTGTAGTATTAGATAATTTGATAAGCATGAAGGGATTGAATTAGCTTGAAATCAAGTAAAACTTCATGATTTCTAGGAAAGCCCTGAAGATCTAAAGAGGTATTGTGAAATTCATCTGTTGAAGACCTTGACTAGATTAAGTTGCTTTTGTTTATTAAACTATGTCTTTCATTATGTATGTGTTTAGGTTTCTCTTTCTTTTTTTGGGTATGTGTTCTGTTTCTTTTTTTGTGTTCTATTTCTTTTTTATTTTCCTTTTTTTGTGTTTTTCTTTTTCTTTTTTTCCTGTGCATTGTTGCTAATAAAATCTCACATTGTTGTGTTCAAAATACCACTTGAAATTTTGTTGAATGCTTCTTGAGGACTTTTATACAAATTAGTTTGGCCCCTCTTCATCTCCTCATTTCTCTCTAAACTTGAGAATTTCATTATGGGTATTTTGCCTATTTTGGTACAGTCAAGCTCTTTTATTTTGCATCTTTGTGCATACACCATGTTCTGTAAAATGCCTCAATTAAAATAGTTTATTTTCTTTTGGTTAAACCAGTTACTTATATAATTCAACTTTTTTGTTGGTCAAATAGTGAGTGAATCTATCATAAC